AGGGGAACATTTTGGGTTGATTAGTTCATCGCAGGGAAAAAAAAAAACAAACCACAAAAGAGACACATTGAAGCTGTGGAGATGAAAGAGGCAAATAAGGTGAGCAGTTTTCAATGGAACTGAACTAAAATGTAGGGAGCAATGAGACTTCACCTGAAATGCTGCTTACAGTATTGTTGCCTACCACGTTATCACTGGTGCAGGTGCCCGGATGCTGGTGGCAGCAGTGGAGGGGCTGCAGGGTAGGCAGCACCTGAGACCCTCAGCCACAGGCTACTGCCTTGGGGAAAGCCTGGGTTGGAAAGGGCAAAACGCTGCCCTAGTGCTTGTCTTTTTGTTTCCTGCTAGCAGAATCAGTAAATATTTATTTTAATTAGCTATAAATTAGGTTCGTTACCCCCAAATCAAGTCTGTTTTGCCTGTGATGGTAGTTGCTAAGTGACATCCCTGTCTTCATTCAGACACACGAGCTTTCCTGTTCCTGGTCTTCCTGTTTTCTCTCCTCATCCCACTAAGGCGGGGCCTGAGCACGCAGCCGGGTGGGGGCTTTGCTGTTGGCCAAAGGCAAACCCACCACACGGGCAGGAGATGACTTGGAGAACTCAGATTGATGGCATTCCAGAAATACACAAACACAGAAATACTCAAAGTGTGAAGGAGAACAATTGAAACAAATGAACGATATTTGTGAGGGAACAAATGGGTAAAAGCAGAACTGATGAATGCAATTACATTATATATTCAAAAGTGGTGATCCACAAATCTGAAAATCTCTTCTTCTATGAACAGAGTGGCCAAAAAGATGAAAAACAGCTAGGTCAACAGACCATTTGAAACAAAAAAAACCCCAAACAAACCATGGTCAATTCATAACCTGGCTTATATGACAGTGAATATCTGTAGTAGCAGTAGGCAGCACCTGTGACACGTGAAGCCTCCTTATTTTAATAAGTGAGAGAAGCATTTCACCCAAAGAGAAAACCCTAAGATACTCGAGATGTGATTGAAGGGATTAGAATATCAATTCAAAATCTGAAGTAATTTCTGGACAAACAATGAAGATTTCATCCCTAAAGGTACATTTTCTGAGAGCTGCTTCCAGTGGGATTGAGACTACAATGTTTATTCAAGCCTATAAGCAATACGGTATATTATAAATAACATCAGGACTGAAGTTGTTCTTCACCAGAATTCAGCTTGAGAATGAAAGAGCCTCCAATGAACACATTGTAGAATAGGATCAGTTTAACAACAACAAAGTGAGCTTAGAGTTAAATCAATAACGTACTTTGCACATCTGTCAAAGTCATAACTGAAAGTATTGTTGTTGCCATTCAGTAACATGTGAGTCCATCAGTGCATTTCTCCTTGCTTCCCAACAAGAGCATGTTTCTGTTGTAAAGGGAATCTTGGATTATCATTCAAAATTTACTCTAATGAGACCAACTACAGCCTCCTAAGTGCATTTTGGACTCCTTTGCTTTGTTCAAAAACTGCTTCAAAGCCAAAGAACTGTCCTTCTTGAAGAAAGACATTTGCTTCAAAAATGTTGTGCATTATATTACAGCCAGTTATTGAGAAAGGGTGGAGAACACTGCCATCAATTCCCACCTCAAGCAGAGGCTACGCAAATCCATTAGCCCCTTTTCTCCAGCAGAAGTGAAAATGTAAATCCTTACACCTGTAAAGTGTAGACAAAACTATTTCCTTGCCACAGAGGAATGCATCATGGTTACATAACATAACTAAAATGCTAAGTGCTAAAGTGATTAGGGTCCCAGATATTTAAGATATTTATTTCTTTAAATAAATCTCATTTTCTTAGTAAATTTTCAAATAGAAGAACAAAGCTCTGGCAAATTGAATGTGGAAAATAATCTGCCACTGTCCCCACTCTCCAGCAAGCTAGATGAACTTATTTATCTTTCACAACACCAATTTCTATGGCTCTCTGCTGGAACATTGCCAGAGCTATAGGCAAACAGAAACTGATTCAGCTACTCAGAAGGAACAGAGTATCTGGGAATAGGAAAATTATCTATGTGGGAGGTTTGCTATCAATTTAAATAAATTACACTCTGAAAGATAATACCATGAAATGAAAAAGTCCTCTCTAATTAAAAATTCCATTAAAAAAAGTATGTATATACATTTAGCTTTATAAAATAAAGACAGAAAAGCTGCTAAGTAGGCTCAGAGTTGCTAAAACTCTGGAATAAGCTAGTTTTAAAAATTAGATTACTAAATGAGATTTAGAGCTTAAAGGGGCCACAACTGTCTCAACTAATTTCAGTCCAAATAAGCACAAAAGAGATACACGCTCCTTTTAGGAACTACAAGAAAACCATTGATCAAAACCTCCACACCAGCATGAAACAAATTATTTGTTATTTCTCTTCCCTTCGGATTGCAAAAAGAAGTGAAACTGTTCCTGAGAGTTCAGGAAGTGATTCAGGAAGCACAAACTCTTCAGAATTTGGATATGTTTAAATGAAGGTTCTGGTCCCTGTACAGACTCAGAGGAGAAAGATAGACTTTCAAGGTAACGTTCAGAGCACCTAAGATAATATCTTGCTCTTATGTCACTTTGCACTGGACCTTCTCTGCATCCATGGACTACAAAGGTAATATCTGGAGCCCAATATCATAATTTACAGTCCTCAAATATCTAAAGAAAAGGAGGCAAAACAAAGATCAAGTGTGATTTTTGTCTCGTTCAAACTGACATCAACATTTTCTTGCATTATTGCCAGAGCATTTTTGCATAGCTAGCATCATGTCTTGTGGGAGAGGCAAAGGCCTCTAATAAAGTCCATTGGATTTTTGGATAGACTATTAATTTAAATACATTCTCTTTTTTTCTCCCCTTGAGCTTTAATTCTCCTTCTTTAACATTTTTTTTCTCCACCCAGTGGACCCAGTTAGGCATGTATTATTGAAACGTTTATAGTTTCCTCCAGAAGAAAATAAGTAGACTTAATGCAGTAGATATATTTCAACATCTTCCACACAGCAACCATTAGGATGTGGCCATATCATTTACTAAAGCTGAAAGAAGGTAACAAGGGTGTGTTGCAAGCAATGGTATGGTGGACGGCGTGGCCCAAGTGCAAAAGTAGGGTGTAGGAGATCTAATTTCTCTGCTGCTGGTCGACTTTCAAGCACAAAGTCAAATGACTTTCTTACTCTCCCTGTAAGTAAATTGAAGTTAAAGATACTTAGACACACCTTAAGTCCTTCATGCTCTTTGACAGAGGACCAGATGTTTTCACAGTTTTATGACATCCTGAAGTTACCCACAACTGAAAGATCAGCTTCTGTCTGGAGAAGAATCCCAGGTAGCAAACATTGGGCTCTCATGAATAGGTTTTCATTGTATGTCTGTCTTTAATGAGGGAACGAGCAGCTTGAGATAACAAGTCATTTCCAATAAAATTAATAGAACTCCTCATCCAATTAATTCACTACTCATCTTGGTAAAATCAAGCATCCGGGATTAGAACTTAAATTATTCTTTACATTCAATTTTGACTTTTTAAATCAGAATTTTTCAGGTCTTCTACCAGTTACCACTATGTTTTTATACTTTCTGGGAATAAATAAATAAATTTTTCTATGCATAGACAATATTGTTGAGGTGTTAAGGGGCATCTTCATGAAATCCTGTGTACTCACATTCATACTTTAAACATTTCTGAAGGTACTAAAATCAGGGACCTGAGCTCCCTATTATAACCTGTACAGAGTGACGTTTTAGCATAAAACTGAGAATACATGAATTAGAAGCCTGAAAAGGAGAATTAACTTCAAGCAGCAGGACAGTGTGTTGTTCAACACACAGGACTGCCAGATGCAGAGCTTGGGTTTACAGACTGGTTGGCCAGCATCCCTTCCATATGATAGCATTGCCCCCACAAAGCTCATACGCTCCATACCGTACCGTAGTCTGAGGTACTCAAGACAAATTAACACATGCCTTGACTCCTCTGTAAGGATCCAGGCAGTGGATCCCATCTGCTATCACCACACTTCAGAATAGACAGTAACTTCTTTCTAACAAGGATGTATTTTCTTTTGTAAGCACAGAGTCCTTGTTCTCCACAGCACCTCAGAACAGGGAAGGACTGAATGTGTGAACTGAAGTTCCCTCTCCATCTTCATCAGGTAAATCTCAGTGACTCTTTATGTTAGTGCTGGCACTGTCAATGTTAATACTGTACCTGCTTCATGGCTGAATGGAGGGTGCTAGTCTACCTGGGTGTCAGTCTATCAAATATATCCAGGGCTAAATGATGCTCCAGAGGGCAATTTCAGCTTTGCAAAAACGTACTCTGACATACAGCAATCACCATCTTGAAAAAACTCGACCCCAAACCCCAAGCATTTGATTGTCTGGGTAGCAGGTGTTTGAAAAATCATATTGTAGGCAATAACTCTAACAAAGAACAGAATTGCTGCTTGTGGAGTAGGAGGAAAAGAGTTCAAAATGAAGGAATGCAACTTGTTGGTTGCAGTAGCCTCTATGGAAAAACTGCCTTCTAATTCCAGAGAACCTCTAATCCACTAATAGAGAAGCATATGCTCTATTTTAAGCTGTATATAATGTAATGAATAGCTATAAGTACTTCAACAGGATAAGGAACTGTATCAGCCAATATGCACTGTAAATCAGGCAAGATATTTATTTTGTCAGTAGTGAGAACATACAGCTGCTCATGTTTGTTAGTATTTCACAGTCATTGTTACATTTATTTGCTTACTTACAAATTGGTATGAAATGCTACTTCTCTTTCCAGCCAAATAAATTACAAACTGGAGATATCACATACATTATAGAGAAATATGAACTACATGTGAATGGGATACAAGGATAACAAGGAGGGGAGACAGAAAGAAGCGCTCACTCTTAAAGATTTAACCCAAATTCTGCTGAGAAAGAGGATCTGAAGGCTTGGAATTCTGTGCTGCATGTTGTGTACGCAGTAACATACCCACTCAGTTTAATATTTGCCAGGAAAATCACAGAGCCCTCTCAGGCTACAACAGCATATAATTTCCTTGAATGTTTTCCTGAGCTCCTGACTCCGGAATGCATAAATGAGTGGATCGATGATGGAATTGCACATAATGAGGATGAGGTAGAAATTAAAGTGGGACATGAAGCACACACAGTAAGGGTTGTAGGGGCAGGAGATGTAGAAAATCAAGTGCAGGAAAAACGGAGCCCAGCACACGACAAAAACTCCTATCAGGATGGTGAGGGTGATGGCCCCTTTCATGTTGGCCCCTTGGCGAACAGGGCCAGTCCCCGGAAGAACAGCAATCTTTTTGATATGCATCCGAGCCATCATGAACATGTGGACATAGAGAGATGCCATGAGAATGAGCATAGTGAAGAACATGCTAATAAGGCAGATGATGACAACACTGCTGTCAGAGTAAATGATGAACAAAATGCCTGAGACTGTGCAAGCAGCCCAGATGCATGTGATGATGACCCCTACGCGCTTCACTGTCATGATATTATGGTATTGGAGTGCGTAAAAGATAGTAAAGTACCTGTCCACTGCTATTGAGAGGAGACTGCAAATTGATGCAAGCAAGGAACTGCAAATCACTGAGTCAATGACATTGTCAATGTTTATGGTAAAGCTCTGTGCATCTGTGTCTGTATTGTTTAGCAGCGTGATGACAATAGTTTCTGATCCGTTAGATACGCTCACTAGCATGTCAGCCACTGCCAAGCTACAGATGAAGTAGTACATGGGCGAATGGAGGTTCTTGTTCTTGGCTATCGCCACAATGACCAAGATGTTCTCCAGCAAGCTGATGATTCCCAGAGTCACAAACACTTCGGGGGATACAAAGAGTTGCTCGTAGCAGCCTCCTGAGGAGTGGCCCTTTGCATTGGGCTCACTGGCACCTCCGTGCAGTCCGTAGCTGTGGTTCCACAAATGGAGAGGCTGGAGTGTTCCACGGTGCCGAGTGAAATTCATCTTACGGAGAGCTCCCTTCAGCTTCCTGCTTTTAAAACTCCTGTTCCTTTTTACATTCCTTTGAAAATCTTTGGCATTTCAGCTTGGGAAGAAAATAAAAATAAGCCAGCATGGAAGCAGGGAGCAGTTTAGAATACTCTGACTGCTGTTAACAAAATAATGTTTTGAACTCAGAAATGCTGGTTTACTCTCTCACAGATGCAATTTCTGATCGTCATCACATTTACCTTGGTGATCTATGCCACAGAGTCCCAACAGTCTGTAAGTTTGCTTCAGATCCTCCCCTATGGTCAGTTTCTGGTGAGTTCACTGATAAGCTGCAAGGTGATTTTTTTTCCCTTCCATTAGGAGAAGCAAACATAAAACGCCCAAGTGACTGCTGCGGAGCAGAAACTAATTTCAAACTGCAAGCACCAGTCTTGCTGTCAGGCAGTGCGTGCCAGCTGCCTGTTTTATGGTGTGTGGAGGAGAAAAATATTCAGGGCACTCTCCGCCTCTGCTTTGCCTTCCAGCCAATGGGGCTCGGGAGCTGCAGAAAGTCAAGGGGCTGCTGATTTCCTGAGCCTTTCTGAAACATCACACGGCACAGCAGATTCAGATGCAGCACGAGCTACTGGTAGCTACAGGAAAGCAGAGATTTTTTTCCCCTTCTTTAACTTCGAAGAATAGTATTTTAATACTGATTTTTAATCAGCAATCTATTCCTGCAGCTGAACTGATGTCTTTTTATTTTTTGGACTGTGATTCACCATCATTTACTCTTGCCCCTTCTGTGGCACAAAGTTGCTCTAACTTGTATATGTGGAAAAAGAGGAAAAGGGCAAGGAAGCAGGAGAATGCTTATTTCCTATTGGTTCTCTCTCCCAGATTTCCCTTGCATTGTTAACTTTTCTATGCCTTGGTTGTCCATTTGCAAGGTGTGTTGTTGCAGGGTTGCATTATACTTTCTAAGCTTCTTATAATTTTAAAGAAATGGAGACCATCTATGGATCAAGAACAGAACAAGGAGCCAAAATCACAAATGGCTTAATAAATTATCCTAAAGAAAGTAGTTTTCCCCAGGTAATAGCTATCTTCATCGTCTTATTTCCAGGAAGCAAAGATGATACAGTTGATCACAGAAGCCCTGTCACAATCAGGGATTAGGATGTGGGACAGGAAAAAAAAGTCAGTATTTAGAATAGATGAAGGAAAGAGCAGGAGAGGAAGTTGAAACCTGTAAGAAATGGGGCTCATACAATGCTAATGACACAAAAGCATCAATACATCTCCTAAAAGTCCATCTGGAGAGATGTCCCTGTGCTTACCTGGCATGAGCTGAAAGTTGGTTTGCGTGCAGTCTGCCAGGGAAAGCCCTTGAGAAGAAGGAGGAAAAGAATGGCAAATGAATATGAAGAGACAGGGACAAAAGCTGTTTTGCTGTTTCCTCTTCAAGCATTGCAACTGATGATTGAAGAACAATATACTGAACAAAGTCTAAAGTATGGGTGCATTTTAAAGCTATGGAAGCTATAGGAAAGTCAATCACTACACCTGAGAGTAATGTTTACAAGGAAGTTGTTTGAATGAACACTTTCAGTCAATTACCAGGAAGACTATGGAGGGGTCTGTATCTGATGCAGGAGTTGATTTTCTTCAACCTCTCAAACTTTTTCATCTTCCATGTGTTAGCTGGTTTTAAAATGAACAGCTATAAAGAGACAAAGGAATACAGCATGCCTGTGGAAGCACAACTATATTCAACATTCCAGCAGCCGGGTGAAGCATGATTTTACTTTCACATTTGGATTTGCTATAGATCTATGGTTATAAAAATCTATATCAGAAGAAAAGCCTCAGCCAATTATTTCTGGGCCTTTCCCCAGACAGATTGCTTCATAAAGCTGAAACATAAACACTCAAGACAAACAGGATAACTTGCGGCACACAAAATCTCACATTTATCAGTTTGGAAAAAAACATTCACCAGCAGCATCCTTGCAATGGAAGAATAGCTTGCTGCTGAGAGGGTGAGATTTGCTTTCCTATCAAGACATAATGCAACAACACAGGATTCAAAAAGATTTATTATCTAGTTACTGATCTCCGGGCCAGTGTACCCTAACTCCTGCCACAGGCGGGACTTGCATATCTAACCCTTAAGGACATAACTACAATGCAAG